CATACATATACAAAAAAGGACAGATTTTCTTAAAAAAGAATTCGAAGATATAAACTCTGAAACAGCCCAAATTTCAGAGATGTTCAACTCATATATAAAGATATTGTTAAATATCACTACTGAGCATCATAAATATACCACAGAACTCAAAAAATCAAGTTGATGCTATTACAGCACAACTAAAAGATATACTGTCTGAGACAGATATACCAAAGAGCTCATAAATGAGTTTTTCAAACCAATACCAAACAGGGACGGCTGGAAGCAACAGTAGACCCAAACGTGACAACATACCAATTGATAATCAAGGAGATTCTATTTCAGTAACATCAACCAAAAAAGTTAGGATACATAGAGATAAAAGAGATACCAAAACAATCAGCATCATGGACCAAGAAGATAAAATCCATTTAGATCCAAAAGAAAAAAATATGTCGAAATAGTCAAAATTGCTTATGAAATAAAAATGAGTGATTCATATTTCATTTCTCCGTGAAATAATGTTTATCCCAAAATAACAACTATGAAAGGAGGAGACCCTTCATTTATAAAAATTATGGTAGACTATGAATTTGATATACTCAGGAAAAGATTTGATTGAAATTTCGAAGTTTGATGACATATTCATAAAAAAAGTTTCTAGATTTACCAAGGGACGAAAAATATATTTGAAATTCTATTCATTAAGTCCAGAATATGATGGAGTTGTTTACTATCCAGTTGAACACATAATCTCAATTGGATATGTTGCAGCCAATTTCCAAATAAATGTTACAGAAAATAATAGAAAAGTTCCGATAGTGACAAAATCACGGACCAGACATAGGAGAACACTTGGAATTAAAGTCATCTACAATATTGTCAAAAATTTGTTTGATAAAAAATTCTCATACCTGTGCCAATATGAAAATTGGATGTTAGTATCTAATGAAGGATATGGAAAATCAGAAATTTTAAAGGACTATATTACAAAATTAGATATACATCAATTTCTAGGATATCCTACTACTATAAAAGAATTATGCCAGCTAAGGGAGTGCCCCATCTGCATGTGAAGAAATAAAGGAAGAGGACAATAATAGAGCACCTTTGACAAAGGTGTATGGAGAACAATAATACAGCTGCATGTGAATACATTGAAGAAAAAGAGCAATAATAGAAAAAGATGCTATTTGAATAAAAAGTTGAAGCAGCATGTGAAGATCTAGACCCAAGGAGGAAAAATATAGAGAGGCAAGTGTACCTTTACTGATGTACTCAATGATGTAATAGAATCTCACAAACTTGTATAAATAGAGACATTGTCATAAATAGAGGGATCATCTCATCTTACCTTGAAATCTCGAGTTGTAAGCAATAGTTATTTTTAAAACCATTCACAGTTTGAAAAATCAATTTTTCTGGAAATCCCTTTGCACTAAATAGAAGTCTTGTATAAATAGAAATAAAACTCCAATATTTTGATATCAATATGATTTTCTAAATTTTTATTCCCATAGATTCTTGAAAGATCTAATAAAAAGTTTCCTTCTTATTTTGACAAAAAGAAAGTTTTTGTTTAACAGAAGTCTAGAATTTTATTCTTTAGAAATTGAATCAGCGAGAGCAAGTAGTTGGAATAGTAACAATTTCATGAAGGCAGGAGGCCGTTGAAGGAAGCAGTTTACGGATTCAAAACTCGAAAGTCACTCGGTTCTTAGAATAAAAGTCCAGATCAAACATAAGGTAAAACTATTAAACTTTTGCTAAAATTAGAATGAAACTTTTTAAGATCTTAAAGAATCGTACGGATTAATCGATGATTATTTGTATGAATAAATGCCAGGATATACAATTGAAAGATTATATAATCTATTAGAAAGAATGTTAGAAAAATAAAGAATATTATTTCTCAATTAGAAAATATAAATTTACCATTTGAAGAATATAGTATTTTAATTAGAAAATATGAAATATACGTTGCAGATTATTCTTATTTATTAGATCATAGAATGAATTTATATTCAAATATTCAAAATAAAAGATAAAATGTTTAAAGATTAAGTAATATGTTGTAATATAGAAAGAATCATTTAACTAAGAGTAATATAGACATTTCAATAAAAATGAATAGTAATAGGCCAAACAGAAAAATCTCCCTTCCATTACTGACCATAAAAACTAGTTTTTTTTTTTTTTTTTTTTTGAAACGACAATTATATTTCTTTTTATTATTATTATTTTCTTTTCTTTTATTTCTCATTTCTCGTTCATAAAAATAAATAAATAAATATGTAGGTGTTAAATAATATTACATATAAGGTGCAATTTGTTACTCTCTACAAGCAAGTTAGTTCATATGTAAGCTAAGCAAATAGAATATACAAGGTGGTCCAGTATTATGGGATTCGAATAAATCAACAAAAAGTTTTCAGACAAAAATACTCATGACAAAGGCATTGATGGTCTTGGTCGGGTTAGTTAAGCTCAATGGACCATTCCTTCACTAGGTAGGCGGCACGATGAGAACACATCTGCCCGTCCGTGTATATATAGAGAGAGGGCTAATTGTTAACTAAAAGTTGAAAATCAGTAGCTTTTGCAATTTCTTCTTACATTGCATATATTTGTCAAAATTCGTGGGCATAAAGAAGTGAGTATTCAATTGCATGTTTGGGTTTTCAGAATCTATATACGCTTTCTTGGTCCTAAATACTGACCAATTCTTCAAATTTGAATATTGTCATTCACAAAGTTGAAAAGACAATACAACTTAACTAACTATAGCGAGTGTGGGAACTTTGCACTTTGTACTCATGGATTATTGGAGTTTTCATTTCACACATCTTTCATACTAAGTAGCATATTCATGGATTGAGCAATACGATCCATGGACCAATGTTACAAAGAAAAATTTGAACTCATATTGATCGTCAGTTAATAATATTTAATTATCTCTCACAAGATAGCGAAAACACATTGTACGTTAAGATAGTTGAACTAGTGAGAAAAAGCCTAGAATCGGGCCAAGCAAGAGAGTCACACCGAACTTGACACCGTGGTAATAAACATGTGTAGCATAATAGTAAATTTAACTCATACACCTATCTCAACTCGATAACCTCAAGTAAGGATTGTGGGCAGAGATAGCCCATAAAGAAATTTGGTGGGCAGCCACAAAACTAGCGCTAACTCCAACCCATAAGTGGACTATTTTAGAATGTCTCAAGTAGATCGACTCAATTGACATCACTATACAAATATAAATTCCTGGTTCTAGAAAGGTCTGATAACAAGAGATCCCAATATTTGCTCTCCAAACAATGACCCAGAATGTATCCTTAGACTTGTCCTAGGTGGACGCTATCAACTATATCTATCCCCAGACACGCCTTAACGAAAGCTAAATTTTGATACTACAACCATACTAACGTTACCACTTCCTATATAAACACACTCACTCCACCAGCCACCCACGAACCAGCATCTACTACAAACACGTCCGGTGTTTGGGTATTCGATAACGGCGTGGTTCGAGTAATAGAAAACGATTGGGACCGTCAAGGCTCCTCCATTGGTCGTCGAAAGTGCCAGTGCATGTCTCTAGTAATGAAGTCATTACATCGTCTGCAGTTCTCTAAAGGAAAATATTGTTGTTGAGGTGGGAGAGGTATTATGATGATCTTGAACTTCTGCAATTCCACAAGAGATCTAAAGTTTATCTCATCTCACTCCCCAAAGATTTGAGCAAGTTAAAGTCCATGCACATGTATGATATTGTGGTCAAGAATAGAAATGAATTTGTAGTTAAGGGAAATGCAGTGTGAAAAATGTTAGCTATTTTTCTTATTTAGCCCTTGTTTGAGCCCCATTTTTGCGAAGAAAATGAATTTTTGAATAGTGTATTGATGGGAAATGTGTTGTTAAAAAATAAGAATTTTTTTTTGATTTGCGTATAATATTATTTTATTGAAGAATGTGTGGTTGAAATGATGTCAAATCACTGTTGAAGAATGTATTTTGGTTGAAAAATGAGGCTCAAACAAGCGCTTAGTACTGTTCAATGTACTTTATTAAACATGTCATAATGTTTTTCCCATTTTGGTTTTGAGTTCTTAGCTTGGTTTGATGTTCTTTCTCGGAGGAAGATGATGTACAGATTATAAGACATCGTTCCTTTTACTTTGGAATTTTTATAGCAATAAGTGCATCGATTTATAAATGCAAGTGATTTGTCGATTTAGAGATTCTTAAGAACGCGTTCCGGACATGACCTGCACATCGTGCCCAGAAACCGCCCAGAAAATCAGGCTGCGTCCTGGAGTTTTTATAAGATTTTCATTTAATTACAAAGCATTGGGTACTGAGATGTTTATGCTAACATGTATCTTAGGTCGATTTTTCACATTGCCTTAGCTCAATAGGGATGTTTATCGAAACTTTTAGACATGCTTTAAGTTTTTAATTATTCAATTGGACACTCGTTGATGGTATCTTGAGAGTTATGTGTCAAAACTACATCGTTCGAGTACTTGATTTTTGGATTAGTTGGCTATAGCTGTCGGCGCGCTTGTCATGCTTCACCAATTTATATTCCATAAGTTGAGCATTCATTTTTCTTCCCAAGAAGTAAAGTTAAAATGAACAAACTACACATCTTGAAATCGATATCTAAAGTTGAGCTTTTGAACTCTAATTTTTAACTGCAACAAAATAATAGAATTGAAATTTTCTTTCATACGAGGGTGTTTGGCGGGATTAAAATTAGATTTTTTAATAGATTGTGATAAAATTTTTTGAAACGTGTGATTAAAAAGTTGTCAAACTCTTGAAAATATAATTAATATTTATTATTTGAGTTTGACTTAAATTAAAATTATATTTTAATTCAAACCAAACATGCTCCAAAAACTCCCCAACAATGAATTAGCCCGCCCAAATACATTAAAACCCACTAAGAACTCAAATTTTTGAAATTCAATTTTATCTTTTTGTTTTTGTCCCATGTTTTTGTCTTCCATTAATAAACTCAGCTAAAATAAATTCGTCTGCACTCAAAAGTCTCCGCAATAAACCCCTGTCCCCCTCTGAAGAAAAAGCTCAGATCCAAATTCAAATTCAAACCTCCATATCCGAATCATCCGATGGAAAACTCCGATTCCACGGCCTCTGTTCCTCCGCCTGCTCCTCTCTCCGTGGTATTACTCTTTTTTCTCTATATTTGTTTTATACGAGTTTTCACGTAATCCCATTTCTGTGTTGCAATTTTCATTTGGTATATGAAATGTGAGTACTTTATTTCTTTTTCTGGGTGTTTATGTAATCCCCACTTTTATTTTATCAATCTTTACTTCTTTATCCGTGCTTATGAAATCCCCTTTTTATTTTTATAATTGTCATTTGTTATATGAATATGGAAATTTACCTCTTTTACTCTGTTTTTATGTAATCCCATTTCTGTTCTTTTTTTTTTTTTGGCAGAAGAAAGAGAATGTGATGCCGATCAACCCTAAGATTGCAGTATGCTCAATGCTTTATTTTAAATCATTTTCTTCTTATTTTTATAGGAACCCATATAATATGTACAGAGAAATGAAGCGTCATGCTTAGCTTATGCTAAGTACACATTGAAAATTAATCCATTGGTTTGTTATCCATTGCTTAACATGTAGTGCTTAGCAGATTATTTCTCAATATATATGCATTTAAAGTTGTATAAAAAATATTTACATAAAGAGTGGACCTTTGTATTTTGTTCTCGTAGATTTCGTGTTTTTGAATTGTAGATGAAATGTTAGAATGGTTTACAGGAATTAACTGAGTCGCGGCAGGAGCTTCTCACTAGAATACAGAAACTAAAAGAGGTGATTTCATTCAATTCGTGCAAAATTCATGTTTATTCAAATTGATTTAATTAGCTTTTTATTTCTTAGTTTATTATATTGATAAAAGTATTTAGAAAAATTAATATAAATTTAAAAAAATTATTGACTTGATAGTGGATCAAGTGATTTTGAACATCTTTAAAGACTAGTGTATGGATTTTCTACTAAACCCTTGTTTGGTGTAGCTAAAATCATACCTTTAGTATATTTTGACAAAAATTGATGAAAAGTGTGGTTGAAAAGTTATGGGTCTTATGAAATTTTTGGTTAAAATTAATTGTTAACTTTTACTTAAATTTTTATGAAAATTTTAGGTTACATCAAACATGGGCTAAATGTTGTATTGACTTATTTAGCATATGCTGTCAAGTGTTAATAAACTATTTATAAATGGTAAAAAAGACCAAATCATATTTTATCCATACATTTCGTAGAACCTACAAGTACTATTTACTTATCTACAACGAATTTCTATTTATCGACAAAATTGTTTATAAACACTTCCAAACAAATGCTTAAACTTGAATGGTCATCATTTTCGGGGCCGAAAGCATAACTTGTTCATTAACATTTTTTTTAAATTAACTAGGATCTTCAAGGTTGGAGGACGAAGTTAGACACTCAAGTTAAGGTCTACCGTGATGTAAGTATTATTTATGTCTTAGACATGTTTCGTTTTCTAGTGTTAATTACATATTTTGATGCCCCTGATATGGTTAATTTGCCCCCTTCACTATTCTTCGGTGGTATTAATATGAGTAATATCTAAGGCACAATTCATACAATTTTTTTATGCATAACTTAAATTTTTTCTTCTTGGTGTCTTATAAGGATGGATTCCTCCTAACCCTTTTGTTGGAAATCCTTGACTTGACCCAAGAAGTTTTGGCATCACTAGGGACAATGATTTTTTAAAAGGTTAGGATGGGAAAGTGTCAATGGGAAAATGTCAATGTAAAATGTTATGAAAGAGAGGGCCTTTGATTGCAAGTTTTGATATTGAACTTTCGAGTTCCTCAAAATGAGTACTCGTGACATCCAAATTGCTCATATTAGACTGTTACCATTATTCCAGTACTCTCATTCATGTTAAGTTTTTACCCCTACTAAGCTACTTACAAAAGTGAGAACTTAAAAAGTTTTTTACTTCCAACAAATAACTATGCCCCTATTTGGTATAGATTCTTTCAAATTAATTTTTATTCAAACTAATTTTATTTATACATTCTCCCAATAAAATAATTTTGTACATGGGCTCTTTACTTTTCATACTTCTTAACCACAGTTAGAGTAAAACATTGTTAAATTTTTATATATGAAATTTGAATTCAAAGTACACTTGTATTTATCATACCCCTGTAGCTAGATAATGACAACTGAAATACAATATATCCGACCCAATTATGTAGTATAATACACCATAAGTATTTAGTAACTATTATACCGTGAGAATTGGTTGTTTATAACATCAGTATGGAAATATAATTATTGAGAGCCATACGTACCAAGTGCTTTACTCTTTGCATAAATTAGCAAAATTTGATGAAGATAATACACTAATTCTTCCTTTGTTGTATTATTCAACCTTCATTGTGCATTTTGAATCACGTATGCCTTGACATATTATTAGAGATGATCTGATGTTTATTATAAAAATGGTTAAAATTGTTGCTGAATTTTCCGCATCTCCCTATTTGTTACAATAATACAACTTTTTATTTTTTCTCTATATCCACCTTTTCTCTGTCTATAGAAGAGCAAATAGAAAATCTTGAATCTTTAGTTACTAAAATCATTGAAACTAATTGATTAAAATTTGAAACCCCTTTGTGTAACTTTTGAAAGAGGAAGAAATGAGTTTATATAAAAAGGACGCTATAAATATTCTGAAATAAGCTATACTTACTGAAAAAATTGCATCTTTCAAAAATTCATACCGATCGATCTAATCGTTCAACTTTTGATGTAAAAGATCAATGAACAAAAATTGTTAAATGCTTGAACCTTGTTGCTTATACTATCCACACCTTTGTAGGTATTGCGTACGAACATGCATAGAATGTCTTATTGGGAAGAAGACTTAACTTGTTTTTGTTGTTATTTGCATATTGAATGTCCAAAGATGTACGGCTTATGTTTTGTGAGAATTAAAAAAATCGTAGTACATACTTTCTTCATGATAGACAATCTCTATAGTATTATCTATGTAGTCCATTATAATTCAATAAAGGATTTCTCAGTTGTGATTCTCGGCTCCCTTGGGGTTGTAGCAGAGGTTATTGAAACTTCTTTCCTGTTACCTGGTGTACAGTACTACTGCTTGTAGTAGGGTACTGACACAATCAATTGCATTTGACACTTCTTGTAGATGGTGTCCTATTGTCTGGCACTTTTGCAAGTCATGTTTGTGCTCTTTAGACACCGACAACAGGCTGCATATGCTATCTACTTCATTGGTTTTCCTAAGATAACTGACTAGACCCTGATATATTCAGTTTGGAAACTTTTCTTGGTTCCCAAGTCTTGTTGCCTTTTTATGTTTTAGTACCCTGCCTCATGATTTAATTGCATTTTTGCTTACCCCAGGAACTTTCAGAGCTTAAGAACTCCCTAAATACTGAAGTAGAGCAACTTCGATCAGTGAGTAGCCTCCCATAATTTCGTTATTTCTAGTCGAGATTACAATTTCATAGTTTCTAATCGAGATGTTCTTTATTTACTTGTTTGATTGATGAATGAAGGATTTTCAAGAGCTTAAGACCACTCTTCAGCAGCAACAGGAAGATGTTACGGCCAGTCTGAGAAACCTAGGGGTCAGTTTTCTTATGCTATCACACTACTATATTGTTGAGCAAAATCCAAATTCTTCCTCGTATGTTTTCAAGTTCTCAATCTTAGTCTTCTTGAACTCTTTAGCTGCAGGATGTTTCAGCAGAAGCCAAAGAGACTGAAGTTCCCATTGTTGAAAACACTGATGAAAATGTTCAAGAATTCCCAATAGGCGATAACGGTAAAGAAATTGAGTAAATCAAATTTTGCGCAATGATCTGTTTAATGAACGATCCCATCCGGGGTTGGTCGTTTCATATCTTGTATTGGATAACAAATTGTCGCACTGAAGAAGATGAAGCTGTCATCTTTAATCAGTTGTCACCAAATTACATTATCTTGGCTGTTTCCTTTGTCGATTTTGTATCTGATGCATAAAACTAGTTGAAATTATTGAGAAATCTTAGGGTATGTTTGATAAGCCAAAATTTTCCCTTGCATTGTTTGATAGCATTTTTTTTTTTTTTTACCTAGAATTCATTTTCCACTTTTTTTGCCACCTAAGTTGAATTCTACATTTTCCTTGAATTGGAATTCTCACCGATATGGTGAGAATCCTAATATCGGTGAGAATTCCAATTTCGGTCATTGTACCATTTTTTATATTTATTTTTTTTCCAATGGAAACAAATTTTAAGAATTATGGTAAAAAAATATTTTCTTTTAATTGACAATTTTCATGTAAAATAAAGTTAAACGAACATCTAAGGGTATATATATATTTATTTTTGGGGCAATGGAAATAAATTTCATTTCCAATACCAGTTAATTTTTTTTTTAATTGATAATTTTCATGTAAAATAAAGCCAAACGAACAGCAAAAATTACTTTTTTATTTTAACATTTTTTAGGTAAAAAATTATATTAATCAAATATAATAATTTACAATTTTTAAACAATTCAATTTTTTGGAATTTGTTTTCAATTCAATTTAATTCTATTTTTGCAATTAAATGAATCCTTAGAGATATCAAGACTTTCAAGAATCCGAATCTTATGAAATGTAGGATTGCAACGTTTTAATTAGTTTTTTTTTTTAATGACGTTTCCTTCATGGATTTTTCTAGCGTATACGTATGTTTTGGATGGATGTATGATAGACGCTTTAAAAGTTTTATATTTGAAAAAAAAAGTAGTGCATAAAATGCCGTGGTTATGTACAAGAAATATTAAAAAATCTATTAGGTATTAGTTCAAACCTTGATCATTCGTTAATTTTATTGAAGTACATTGAAGCATGAAATTATGTAAATTTGTAGTTGAAGCTTGTAATTAATTTAATTCTTAGTCGAAATTCACCAAAAGTCTAATGAAGTGCCAAACTTTTACTGATCTTTCAAAATTTTGTTCAAAAATTTCCTACAAGTGTATGCAAAGTACAGCGTTGCTACACGGATAGGGCCATGTCGGTCTTGTTTGTTGCACACTCCTTGCCAATAGAAGAGGCACAGACAAGGCCTTTGTCCGTTTTGATTTATTCATGCAAAGTATCCTCAAGGTTTTCAATTTTTCATTTTTTAAGCTTTTGAGAAGTTTTTGAAGATTGCCGGTTTTTGAATTGTGTTCAAAATAGAATCGGTAGCGTCTTTGAAGTTAAACAAAAACATAAAGTCACTTTAAAATAAATTTTGTGTTAAAACGGGTTGGTCATTTTGCAGGAGAAGTTAGATATTGTTTTCTTTTGTGGAAGAAGCATAACCGAATTCGCTCTTAAACATATACAGACTACAGTACAAAATTACTTATAAGTAACTTTTAAACTTAATCAAATTTATTCGAAATATCACAGTTTTCGATGCTTTCTGTCTCCATGTTGTGAAAATGATGGCTGTCTTCCATCAATCATATATCATCCAACTGGCTTTAAACTCAAAGTGGAAAGAAACCGAAAGGCTAAATCCCATTTTACTAAGCTTCAAAGTTCAAACATTAATGAGGCAAATGATGGTCTCAACCCCACTATATACTGAATTTGCTTTGAAGTTATGCCATATTTATAAAGTTCGTTGACAAAATGATATCTAGGAGAATTATAAAAAAGTCATTTTTTTTTTAAATGCATCAAAAATTTGCATGTGTACCTAAGCCCCCGTTTGAGCCCCATTATGTGTAGATTATAAGAAATGAATAGTATTTTTTTGAAAAATGAGTGGTTGAAAAGTTTTTGATTTACGTATAATATTATTTTATTGAAGATTGTGTGGTTAAAAGTAGGAGAGAGAAAAATTTAATTTAATGTAATGAGAAATAATGGGGTTCAAACGAGGGCTAAATTTATAAAAAAAGTCACTTTTCCAACTAGAAATGTCCAACTTACCCTTCATTTCCTATTTTTGGGAGCATTTAATGCTAGCTTTCCAATCCAATTAATGCTATGATTTGATTAGTTAAATTTATATATTATAATCTATGGATATATATATACATTCTATTGTATAATACGAATTTACCAAAAAAAAAAAAAAAAAGGTACAAAACCCTATTTTAACATCAATCAAATCTCTTCTCCAACGAACCTTTACTTCATCATTTTTCTTCATTCTTTGATCAAGAAGACACAACTGTTAGATTCATCAATCATTTTAATAGGTTAGTTATTACGAGTTGTTTATATTTTTATCGAATAACTTTCTCTTTTTTAAATGTTAAAAACAATATGATCATCAAAGTGAAGAATGGTTTTGAAACTCTTATTAATCATGATGCTCTTAATTTGTGAAATATTTTTGAAGGGAGAAGATACCAAAAAGAAATTTCAAAAAGATTTGGGCAAATGTTAAGTATGACATTTCATATTTAATAAAGCATTCAGTCATTTATTTTTGGCAGATGTTGTGATGATGTAGTTGTTGTAGTTGAGAATTTATTATAACCATTAATGTTTCGAACAAGGTATCAAACATGTTTGAAACTTCTCGACAGTTTCGACAGTTGAACTGTTGAACTTGACATTTCGAAACTGTTGGGTTAGACATTTTAATTGTCGAAATCAACAGTTAAAAACTGTTGACCCCCTTCATTTCACCTTATGTTTTTGCATGTGTTTAAATATTCGAAAGTGCCACTTCCATGCTATTACATATCGACATATTCATTGTACAGAATTCTTATCGTTCTAATCCCAATAATTCAGGTATGAACAATCATTTTAGATTCATCGTGTCATATGGAGAAAAGTTCATTCACGTGGATGACGAATGAAAGTGGACATGGGACGAAACCACTTCCATTTTAGTGTCGAGAAGTATTACCCTAGCCGGACTTGTGTTATTGTTGAATGACAAACTTGGTGTTATTAATCCACTCATCAAAATTGAATTGAAATTTAGAGTCCCGAATTTCAATTTACCATCGGTCGAAATACGTGAAGATGAAGACCTAATTTGGTAAAAATCTGTTCATACGGAAACTGCCCTCTGCATTACTATTTTGGAAACTGATCTGTCGAGTGTTGACATGGGGAGGGATACAAATTTGCATGACCCTTCGTTCGGAGCAGCGGATGTTCCCCATAATGTACAACATGATGACATCCATCATGAGCCTAGTACCCCAAACAATAATGTAGCCAATAGTCCAATTGAATATATTGAGGTTGTACCGTTAGATGAGATGTTGGATAACCCGTTACAAGTACAAATGGTGCAATATTGTAGACGTTGACGGGGGAATGTCATCACATTCCTAGAGTTTGGATACATACCAATGAATTATAAGTGTGAATACATCCGATCTGGTTGAACGACAAATATTCTTCAGCAAAAAAGAGCTGTACTTGAAAATTCGTGTGCTTGCTTTGCAGGACAAGTTCATTTTTAAGGTCAACGGGTCAAGTCTCAAAATGTTAATTGTCACATGCACAGACGATAATTACAAGTGGATGTTACGTGCTTCGAGTGTGAAGCAGTCTGCAATATTCATGATCCGTAAATTCAACAATGTGCACACATGTTCCGTAGATTTTCGTCGTAACACATATCGATATGCCACTACTTCTATAATTGTCGAGCATATTTTGTAAAAATTGGATAATCCATACCGATCGTACGATCCTACCACTATTGCACGTGACATGGAACACGGGTTTGGTGTGAAAATAAGTTACCAAAAAGTACATAGGGGCAAGGTAGCAGTTTTACATATGCTACACGGTACATCGGGGGATAATTTCCAAAAACTATCGTCATATTGTCATGTCCTAGGAGAGGTAACCCGGGGACAATAACCCACATTGAAGTTGATTCCTGTAACAGGTTTTATTACTTCTTCCTGACTTTCAGTGCAAGCATTTGTGGTTATATGCACTGCTTGAGGGCCGTTATTTGTGTTAACGGTAGTTACTTGAAAGGTCCATACAAAGGTACACTTCTGCTGGCAACCCGCCAAGATGCCAACAAACAGATTTATCCCCTAGTATGGGAGATCGTTGATGTCGAAACAAATAGATCGTGGATGTGGTTTCTGTCGTGCTTGATAGAGCTTATAGGAGACTCGGATGAATTGGTTTTTGTTTTCGATAGGAAAAATAATATTTCTAATGTCATTGCTCACGTATTTTCTCTGTCTCACCATGGGTACTGTATTTGATATCTGGAGAAGAACTTAATCCAGTGGTACAACAACGCAAGTGTAATATTTCTATTCAAACGAGTTGCAAGAACTTCTCGGGTCGAAGAGTTCTAAAGACTTATGGGAAAGATTCGTAGGGTCAATGAAAGAGTGTATGGGTACTTGAGCTAGCTGGTTTTTCATTTTGGTCACGAGCACTATTCTTTGGGCAACGTTACAACATATTGACAAACAACAACGCAAAATCTTTGAACTCAATATTAAGACATGCACGTTCATTGTCGATCACATGCTTGGTCGAACACATTCGGCAAACTATACAAAAGTGGTTCTACGAACGTCGAACCAACGCAACCACATGTAGTGTCGTGTTGTCATCGAGGATGGAAAGCAAGTTACAGACAACGTTCGAAACAAGTGCAAGGCTTCGAGCTCAAGGCCTGACAGACAACTTAACACAAGTTGGACTATCAAATGACACGGACATTGTGGACTTTTTCGATAACACGTGCACTTGTCTTCAGTTTCAGCTTAATCGTATAGCGTGCATTCATGCAGGTCATGCTACCTGCTTGCGAGGTAAATCATTGTACGATTTATGCTCACCGTATTACACATCGAAATATTGGAGGGGTGCCTACAGCGAAGCAATCTATCCTCTTACGCGTGAAGTGGACTGGATTGTCCCAAACGAAATTACAGGTACTCCTATTCTGCCACCAAGTGTATGTCGTCCTCCATATAGACCACCCACACGACGTCAACGATCCAAATACGAGTCCACCACATGACTGAGGAAATGCACCTGCTGTGGTAGAGTCGATCATAATCGAAGCACATGTTCGAACCCCTTTCTAAC